GTGTCAAAAAATATCCATATCCAAGGAAGTTACCAAAATCCATATCCAATATGGTATGGTTACATATACAAATATGTAGTGAAATATCCAGATTCGTATCCGAAATATATGAAGATATGTCATACAGTTGCAACAATCTTAATCCTTAGATCAGTGGATTTGAGGTTAATTTTGATGATCAAGAGATTGAATTAACTTTTCAGATGTAATGAACATATTAATGAACATATTAAAGATGGGGAAGGAGACAAGTTTACTCTTTTGGGATGGGTAAAGAGGATGGGTTGAGGGGGTTGGTTATCACTGACGCTGCATTGTGGTACCCTTTATGTAAATAAAAAGTTCCATTTCTGGCATGCTTCTTTTCCTTGCAATCCCAGGCGGTCAAACTAAATATCTTTGGTTACTTCAATCAATATATATTTTTTTTGTTGAGGTATGCGGATACTGGTCTTCATGTGACCTATAAAGAAGTATCTTCTAGCATTCATAGTTTCTAGATCTCTGCATTTGCTGATGCACGTTCATGCAATATCATCAGCTTGACTTGTAGGATCCGACTTGTTCCTTTGTCACACACAGAAGGCAAGGCATTACATATTTTCTCTCGAATTTAGATTTTTAGTACACCAATTAAGTAGAATAAGTTATATTCAAATTCTGAGTGGATCTTTTAGGATACAACTTGATGTTACTCGCAGATAGATGTAGACATTTTGAGCAGTATACAGAAATCACAATTTCTTGGTGGATTTTAATGGATACAACACAACTTGTTGCTATGTGCAGATGGATGTGGTATAATCTGCACTGCTTATCATGGTCTAGACGGATGTGGTATAATCTGCACTGCTTATCATGGTCTACATATCCAAAAAAATGATTATGAAAAACAGATTATATGTTTTTGTTCTCAATCCCTTGAATCAAGTAGTTTTCTAGTGAGCAGTTTCAATAATAAAACAAATGAGATCAGTCATTAATGAGTTATGGATAACAAAATCATGTGATCTCTTTTCTTTCAACTTTTTACGACATGCAGTTGGGATGAAAGCATGGTGATCCATGAAATAGCTCATAATGTGTCGTAAGTCAATTCTAGTATCTTGTATCATGAATTCACATTCAGTAAGTAAATTCTATGGCAATTGTGAAAATAGGAAAACTTTGTACCCCAGCCATTAGATTCAGATATTTGAATCCCATATTGTTTCATATAACAGAAAGGCCATCTTTCTGGTAAATTAGCAACTATCATGTTCAATCCTATAGTAGTGTTCTTTTAGGTCTATTCCAAGTGCTTGTCACAGATGAACTCACTCCTAACAGGCTGTAGTGTCCTCGCTATTTCTTCCCCAAATGAAACTTTGGCTTGTAATCAGTTTCTCATTTATACGTTCTATCATAGTTGCCCTTATTGGTCTGACATTTTCATTTCAGGTGCATTCTTTTCCCTGGCTTCATCTGTGTCACTAACTACCCCCCCCCCCCCCCCCCCCCCTTCCTTCTCTTCTTTCTTCACTTTATTCTGCTACCTTTCTCCTCTCTTTTTCCTTGTACTTTGGGACCTTCGGTCAAACAGTTTGCGTAATGATGCTCCTTGATACTGTTCATTTTGGAGGTCTAGAGGGTTTGCGCAAATCGTGTACTGGGGGCATAGGTAGAAAAGGGATGTATGTGTTAGAAATTAATAGTACTGCCTCCGAGACATATTAACAGTACCTTAATCTAGGTTTCTCATGTCTCTGGAGCATTGTAACATGTACTAGATGCAAGATGTCATCACAACATAAAAGTTCAGGCTACCCATGTTGACATTTTCACCTAGATTCACTATGGACCTATGGGTATTGCAATCGTAACACTTCTTCTTTTGAATATCTGTTTTTGCTTCTTCTAGGCAAAGATTTCTTAGTAAACCACAAAGAGTTTGAATTGGTGCCTTAAGTATCTACTTATATTATGTATTATCTGCCGTCTTTATTCGTATCGATTGCTTTCACTTGTCCTGTCCAGTTAACGACCTTTATATATTATATTCCTATCTCTTTCAGTTCAGTTACTACCTTATATAAGTTTTTCTACTTGTGTGTATATATCACAGGTTTGAATAAATAGAAAATAGAAAAGCTACCATTAATGCCATAGAGTTTATTTATGAAATTAAGGGTTTTTCAGATTGCTTGTATAGTGGAGCAGATCAAATTAGGTTGATCGTATGACACCTTGACTGCGTGGAGGTTTCCTTTAATCTTTAGTTCGTTTTGTTTTCACACCCTTGTCCTGAAACCCCGTCTTATGATCAGTGCCATTTGGTACAGGTGCAAATATACAAATCAAGGCCCAAAATGAACTTTGTAACTGACATTACTAAACCATCCATTAGATACTGTGAACCAAAAGGTAGACAGCCCTGGTCCGTGTGGATAAATGCTGCGGTGTTTCAAATATTTGGTTGATGGGATTTGCTAGATTTAATAGTAATTGAGTGGATTATGTGGACATGTAGTAGGCTAAAATCTCAGTGCCAATTGTCTTTGAGAAATTTACCATTACGATAAATGAAGTAGGATGGATATCGTCACTGATTCACTAGCAAGTAATTATCTATTTTTACTTCTTAGTTTGTAGCATGTTTGTTCTTATGCCTTGGAAAAAAAAATACTGACACTAATTAAAATGCGTGGACACTTCGATCATGAAGCCATGTTAGCATATCAAGTCCATCTCTTAGAATTTGCTATGTTTGAGCTTCTTATCTCTCCATTTTCAATGCATCTATGTCAGTGCTACATTAGTACCAAGGCTTGCTGCTGGTGAGTACCACTTGAAGATGCTTGGAATATATGCATTTTCTTCTAGTTAATAGTCCACTTTATGTGCTTTTAGCTATTTTAAGGTTTTGTTATGCGTAATACACTTGAAGATTACTCCACATTGAAACATCTCAAAGCAACTGGACGTTCCTTTGCTAACGAGTGTGAGAGATTTTATATTTGAATCTTCAGTAAATGATGATCATGTAAGTTTATATATTTTGTAAGATTCAATGGCAGGACGTGTTTTGACTAGAATTTACAGCCCTTATGATCAGCTCTTCACGATAGAGTAGGTGAGTGCTCTAGTTTGTGCATATAGATTGAATTGCCATGTTTTCTTGCATTCATTTTGTTTAGGTTCCATTTGTGCGTTAACACCTTAGTTTACACGGCTTATGCTTAACTTCTATAATTATGCAATGTTTCATGTATTCATAATTGGGTTTTAACGAGTTCGCATCTGCAGTTTTTTGCTTTTCATATATTTTACACATTCCTCTGCTGATTGGAGTGGATTGCAATATAAATGAGTAACTTTGTTTTGCTGTTTAAAATACCAATCTCCACGTGTTTGATATTCCGGAGAAAATCAGTGACACTAATCTCTATATTGAACTGCTAGCATCCCATATTGAAGGTGGATTTGTTGGCAACTCTTACATTGTCATAATTCATCATCCATCTTCTTATACATTTTCTGTTTCATGAAGAATTTGGACATGATGCTTCCTGATATTGAATGAGCTTGAACTATCAGTTCTTTAACTGTCTTGTTCGTTTTTATGTATATGCCAGTTCTTTGAATTGCTCTACTAGATTATTGATGTACCATTTGTGTCTGTGCTTGATATGCTTCCATATTTTGAACTTATTCTATCTTGTAGAGAGCAATTGTTTGGCTAATTGTCTGACTATTGAGTGAGGTAAGTAATATGTTTCAATGTGATGAAAATATTAAACAAGCTCATGTTCATGAGACTTATATTTTCTGTTGGATTAGCATGAATCGATATTACCAACAGTAGTTGCTGATCAGGTACATTGTATTCAAATTGCATTGCTTATAGTAGGTGGTGTCGTATGCTTTTAAGTGCTGGTGACTTGTAACTGTGATAACTATGATTTTTCTATAGGAGTTATCAGAGATTGTTTTGACTACTCGTGTATTTTCCTC